AAGTTAAATTTATTCAGATTGGTCCACTTCATCTTTACTGAAAGTATGAAAAAAAGTTTAATTGTGGAACTGGGATTTTTTTCACGATAATAGCCCAAAATAGGTAAAAATTGATGAAAAATGGGAAAATCATCAAAATTGGGTACTTTCAAAGGGCCGTAGTGAAAAAAGAAGTGCACCACCATATGATTTTTTCCTCACCAATTATTTTTTCACAGTCATATAAACCCAAAAATCAGGTTAAGAAAAAAAGTTTAATTCTAGAAATTTTTGGCTCCTCAGAGGTGTACATCCTTAAGACAAGATACTTGTATCTACGTTGGCCATTCTTTTTTATGAGACAAAGCAGGACAAACTCTTTCAATTTGTTTTTTTAGTTTGGAATAGTGAATACTTGTGTAAAGTTTAGAAAAGTCAAATGTTTTAATACTATTGCAAGATGAAAGTCTTAGATTTCATGTACTCTAAAAGACCTTTAAAAAAGAATTTTTTAATATCCACATCTGATTCACGCCACCTCTAGAATAGGTAGTTTCACAATAACTTTGAAGCCCGGTTGCTGATAAAATTGATGTAAATAATTCAGAAAGAGGTTTCGTGGAGCACTTGGAAGACCCAGCAATATAACGTTGTTTGTAAGGACACTTATGTTGTTTAGGTATCCAATACAGTGATGGAAGATCCAGTTCTTCATCTTTGGTTGAAATTCCAAAGGAACATAGAACAGACCTGATTATCCAGGATTTCCTCTTTGGTAAGTGTCGTGGGGGTATATGTTGAGTTTTCAAGTGAAATGTCAATACCTAATTCATTTATCAAGCAGTTTATGCAGGCAAGTTTACAATTGGGAAGCTGAAATTATCTCTTTTTTCATAAAGTTTTGTTTCAACCGACCCTCGTTTTCAATTTCTAGTTGCAAGTAAAGATATGAGGCAGACGTAACTGTATCTGTTGTATCCATTATCTCAAGTTCGATGGGATAGATGCGTTCAACATAGTCACCAAACTGTTAAACTGATCATCAATTTACTAAAACCAAGGCTGACTATCCAAGACATCAATTTGAGGCTGATATCTGAGAATTGTCACTTGTTTTGTTAATTGGTACCAAATGCTTATAAACAAATATTCAGACAGAAAGAAAAACTTAGTATGATTTTCTAAGAAATGCAATTGCTTAAAACATTTAATTGTTTTTAGAACAGATTATTTTATATAGATATGATAGTTTATTCGTGAATCTTTGGTTTCCCCTACGGAGATAAGCATTATTTCTAAAGGGAAATAATTAGGCTGATTAAACGATCTCCAATAAAAAAAAATCATTTCCCCGGGGTCCCCTAACAAATTTCAAAATTTAATATCAATTTTTAAATAATTATCGCAATTTTTATCCCAATTATTTTGTAAAATGAAAACTGTGTTCAGTATTTTTGGCATATGATGAATTACTATGTGGGTGTTAAACATTCAGAAGCTAATGTAGGAATATTGGTCTTGTACAGGTTACAGTCATAAACTAGTTTACTAAAATCAAAACTGTTTAACTTACTTTAAAACAAATTTGTATACTTAACCAGTCTTACGTATTGCTGTATATGAAAATGTAAGTTTTCCAAAATGTAGGACGTGTAAGCAATGATGTCATGTCTCAACAGGCATATCTTCCAGTGACATATCAATAAAACAGAAACCTTTGCAATATCTGTTTTATTTGGATCAGAGATGTTTCTCTCTGGTAGTACTGTTTATATGTTTATAACAAGAAATTAATTCATGTCTGACAATTTAAGGTACTAATGTGAAAAATAATTCCTGATTTATATGAACATATTTACATATGTAGTTAGTATTATAACTATATGTGTACAAGTTCTTATCTAATTCTATGTATTAATTTTGATAGAAAAAATAAGGAGACATTAGTGTGACTGTCCGTGAGAAAGCCATTCTGTAAAAAGGGATTATAAGTAAGATTTGTTGTGTGTTTTTTGTTGTGCATGTACTGATTTTGTGTCATGGAAACAACGAATTCTTATGTTGAATAAAGTATAAATATACTATAGGCTTGTTGGCATTTCAGCTTATTTTTTTCATTTGACCATCACTGATGAAATGTGCGTTTGCTCTGAAGCCTTCATTTCTCTAAGATATTTAAAAAAAAACTTTAAAGAAATTTTTAGTTTCTGCTAATAGCGAGATAAAATATGTGCAATGCGGGGGACATTGGAACCCTGTTCTTTTATTAATTTCTAAATTATTTTTTAAATTTGAATATCCACAATATTCAGTCATTTAAAAAAAATTGAATCAAGTAACTTTCAGTCAGATATCTCCTGTTTACACCAATGTTTACAATAGGATGAGAGAATATCTTAAATAACCTGATGGCACTCTTTCAAATTTATTTTAGATGGAAGACGATATTTTAGTTTGATAACACTATATTCAGATGTTATAGATTAAGCATTCCAATATTCATTAAATGTGAATCAATTTTCAAGAGGGGTTGAAGATACCCAAGAAATATTCAAACTCATAAGTCGAAAAATAATTGACATCTGGCATACAAAATTGTAATCCTGGTATCTTTGATGAGTTTATTGACAATATGCCATGGCAAAAAAAACAACCAAAAGAGATATAATTAATTAGAAACCATAACATCAAACAATGGTATAGTACCAATTCAAATATCGTAAATCATGAAACACGGCTAATGAAGTAGACATTATTTGCTGCTTAAAACTAAGCTTAATGAATGATAATACAATGTACTGACATGTAACTACTATAATTCCTGTTCTTCACAAACACATTTACTTTTGCTTTATTTGGTCTTTTTAAGGTAGATTAACTGTAAACCGCCATCTTGGATTGTAAAATAGCAGTTCACAATCAAGCTAGTTCTTTGCTTAAATCTGAAAACTTTGATACAAATTGGCTATTATGAGTAATTCTGTTTATTGGTATAAAGAAAAAAGGAACTATTTTGTATAAATAGATTATTAATACACAATACGTTTTTGTGCAATGCCTGTACATATAGTTTTAATTAGAAATTCCTGTCTATTATTGGTCCAATCAGTGAGGGGGGGTCCCAGTTACTGCTGCATGTGAAATCTCGTTTACTAATTGCTTTTTCAAGATCATACTAATTAACCAATCAAAATTAACATTGCATTTGAATTAATCAATCAGCGCTTAATTAACAGGGCTTTTGTTTAAGGCACAAGCACATAATTATTCTGAAAGCAACGCTTGCTTTGAGCAGACACTCAAATTTTTCTGGGAAATAATTTAATCCCACCCTCCGCTCCCTAGAGGATAGTTTTTACATTATTGCTATGTCATTTCAGCCTTTTATTATAATATATTGTTAATAAGTAGAGTAGTAATGTTTTCAAAGAACTCACAGTTATCATGTACTTTATGTTAGGAGTACCACAGATTTTCAACTTGATTTTGCTTTGTTTGTAATTATGTTTATTGCTTTATTGATATGCAAAGAAAACTGTGGTTCTTTGTCCCAAACCTGTGTTTGTTCAGTTTATACTTCTAACCAAGAACCGGTTAACATGTCTATTGCCCCTTACTGATCTCTGATTATTGTAAAACAGATGCTTTCATTTGCACTGTATCTTTTCAGCATTTGGTTAGGCCCCCAAAAGAGAAAGCACTTAAGTAATAGCAACATAGGCCCTAAATAGAATAAGGAGCATAATATAGGGAGGAATGGGGGGAGGGGGACTAGTAATGTGGATTAATATGAGATTTATTGCTTTATTTTAACTGATATAACAAATACCAAATATTTGTGTTTGTTTGAATCTAATTGTGAACTTAGCCATTTAAGGGGAGATAACTCAGATAGTAAAATTTATATACAGGTATAATACAGAAATTTTCAATTTTTACTTGTAGCAAGAAAACAAGGTCGTTACACCATTTTTCATTTTTATTTTCTAAAAGCATATTTTAAAACCCATTTAAAATTTCATTTCAAAATTCTATCTCAGATTTCTTTTTATTCACAAAAAAGTGTTTTTTCATGAACAATCCATGCAAATTTTGGCAATCTTGTACGACTTGTATCTTGAAATATATACTTTTATTATATTTTTGAAAAAGCATTGAAAAATCTTCATTTTGAAAAAGTATAAGAAAATTCTATCTGAGGAAATATATACCAATGATCCACCTTAACTTGTTTTATTCAAGCATAGCTCAAGCATAGCTGAATAGTCTTTTGTAGACAAAACGCATGTCTTGCATACAAAATTTTAAACCTGGTATCTATGATGACTTTATATACATTATCAGAAACTAAACATTTGAACAATATGAAGTCATTGATACATGGCTTAAATGTTTGCATGAACCTGAATTGCAATTATACAAATTTAATATTATGAATATTAATTTAGTATTATGAATATTATGAAGACATAATCTTTCAATCAGTTTAATTGAGGTCTGGAGCTGGAATGTCAGTAACTGCTAGTAGTCCTTTGTTAATTTATGTATCATTGTCATTTGATTTTGCTTAGTTTCTTTTGTTACCTATTCTGACATCGGACTCAGACTACTGTTATACTGAGTTTTACTGTGTGTATTGCTGAGTGTTTGTTTATTCTACATTGGCTAGAGTTATAGGGGAGGGTTGAGATCTCACAAAACATGTTTAGCCCCGCCGCATTTTTGTGCCTGTCCCAAGTAAGTAGCCAATTGGACAACTTTACACAGAGTCCAAATTAAATGTTCGTAAGCAGCTATATATGCCACTGTACTGCTTTCAACAAAGTATATTTGATTGAACAAAACCTATCATATACTGCTTTGAACAAAATGCTTCAAAAATAATGCAACAGTGAATAAAAAGTCAATAAATCTGATATGGACTGATTTATAATACAGATCATTAGATAATTCCAATAGATCTGCTAATGACTGACCTATGTCTTCACACAAGTAACATTGGTTAGAGACAAGACAAGAAATAAAATGGAATGTTTTATTCTGGCCTACAAGTAGAAAAAACTGGCCATCTGACTTATTTTCTTAATGAATATATGAAATGAATATAATTTGTATTCTCAAAATTATTTAAAGTTCTTTTTGTGAATCTTTTATATGTCTAACACACAGTTATCATGTGACACACATCTTCAGGAGAAAGTATTTTGTTGATAATCTTCAGCAATATTTCTTCAATTTCTGCTGCAGCAAAAGATTTACACTGAAAAACAAGAGAACATTTAAAATATGACATGTGGGTAAACTAAAAAGTCATAATTGAAACAATATACCAACAGAAATGCAATTTTAAGCACACCCTTAACAAATCATTTACTTAGAAAACAGCAACAACAAGTGAAACTGCGAGCTACTGCTCACTGATGATACCCCCGCCGCTTGACGATAAACAGGAAGTTGTTGAGTGGTGAATTTGAAAACGCATCACACCTTATAGCTGACTTATATAAACCCTGAAACCAAATTTCAGAAATCCTTATGATGTAGTTCCTGAGAAAAATGCGACAAAAAATATTCATGGGACTGACGGATGGACGGACAGACAGAGGTAAAACAGTATACCCCCCTTCTTCAAAGCGGGGATATAATAAAATTCACTTTACAATTTTAACATTTATGGTGATATTTCTGAATTCTTTAAATGGGGAACACCATTGGACAAATATCAATTATATTTTCTTTACTGTTGTTACTTTTTATTCGATTTATTTGGATAGCTATTTCTTTTCTTTTAGTATTTTCGGATATCATGAGGGAATGTAGAAATTCATCATTTATTTGATTTTGATGACAGATGATAAATTTAATGATATCTCTTTGGTTTGTTTCAATGTGTTGTTATCTCATTGATGTACATTTTTACACCAAATCTCCTTGTATTATATGTAGATTATATCTTTGTTAATGTATCTTTCATCCAAATATAAATTGAAGCATCCCTAAATGATTTCAAATGGTAGTCATGGCTACCATTTCATATCCCCTATTCTAATGTCTTTTTGCCTTCTATATGCCACTTTCATTTATTGTCCGATGCGTTCTGATTTCTGACTTTGCTTATAACATAGTCATATAACTTCAATAGTTTTTTTGTAAATAAATAAAACAAACTTACCGCCTTATTTGTTGGTGATGGTAATCTTCCACATACATCATCTACATACATTTTAACTACATTCTGAAATCAGAAATATTTATGATTTATACATTTATAGTACTACAACTAGGCCAATGCTATTGCTTATGCAATCTGTTCAATATCTTTATTATGAAAAGTTTGGTTGATTTATTATTTTTTTGTATTTAAACAGGGACTTTACCCAAAAAGATTATTTATATACAAGGTGTACCTTACAAAGAAGTTGTGCGTTCTATATCTTTTAAGGAAAGGCCCTAGATCTATTTTAAAAAAAGAGGTGTAAAATTACTGTATTGGTCAAATAGGTAATTTTTCACATCGATATCACAAGAAATTTCCTTCCAGTACAGAGTCCAGATTATATAAACCTCTTCATACATCAATAAAATTAACATTGAAAGACTTGAATAGCTATACTATTTTTCAATTTCAGAGATCGAATAAGGGCTCTTATCATATGTCATCCTCTACTGTGCAAGCTTTTTGAATATATCTTACTAATCAAAGTGCTTGTAAGCACTGAACGGTAAAGATTGCTTCAATTTATAAGTGGGAAGTAAAATTAAATATTGCATTGTTTGTTGTTGATTTAACAGCAATTCTAGACAAAGGAAGATAACTCCAAATTTTTAAAGATGATTTTAACAATGACATCATTTATATTTTAAGAACAGATATTAGATTCCTGCACCTTGCAAAAGTTATGTAATTTTCTTGACAAGTGTAACATCATTTTGTGCCTCGAATATCTGAGCATATATTACATCAATAAATTTCTGGAAATGTTTATGGATAGGATGTATAGAATGTTATGATCAATGCACTATATTTTGTGTATCAAAAAGATAGTGATAAGCCTTGGAAGATTTAGATATCAAGTCAGTCCCATAAGGTTTTGATTGCATAATGCAATCTTTACCTAAAAATGGAAGTTGGTTTTTGTGATAACATCAGTTTAAGATGAACAACCAATTGACTGTTTTGAGGAGTTTAATTTCAACCTATGCATTTTACTACCAAACTTACATACAGGTGTGACATATCTCTGTGTCAACAGTTCATGCAACTGAATTTTTACAAAATATATATTTTTAATAGGATTTGATGCATCTTTGTTAGAAGGTTTTAGAAAACATATGGATGAAGAACATCAAGTAATCAAAATTCAGTTGGAGACTATTTCCTGTATGGTGTTGTTGTTTGAACTGAAAAATGATCTTCCTAAGAATGATCGTTTGTCATTGTCACAAAGTAAAACATCATAATTTCAGTGGCAATTATTTGATATAAAAAAGCTCTTACTGAAATACATCTAACCAGCTGTTTGAAGAAAATGAAGCATTTCTGATGTGTTATTTACTAATATCACAACAAATGAAACTAAAAAAATTCAAAGTATATAAAAAAATTTCCCAGTACGAACCTTATCATGATTTAAATTTTCATCAATGTATTTGATGATATGTTTACATATTTCACACTGTACATCTTTATCCTTCTTCTCATCAAAGAAAGCTGCAACTGGCTTGTCTACAGCAGCAACAGAAGAACCTTTGAAAAATTTAATAATATTAATGCACATTTTATTGTTTTAACTGGTGTTTAACTTTCAATCACTGGTAATGTCAAAATACAGAACCTCCTATCCATTATGTGACTTTTTTCAACATAATTCTGACCAACCTCTTTTCATTTTTCCATGAACTATCATATAATTTGTCTTAAATGTAATAATCTATTGTAGAAACAGTGAAATTTTATTGATGGTCAATGTGCAAAAAGTTCAAGAAAGTTATGAGTAAGACTGGTAAAAATCATGTCAGTAACCATCTATAAGAATACATAAACTCACCTTTGAGCTTATTTTAAAATTATATTGGTCGAAAATCCTTACAGTACATATCAGCTTTATTAATAAACAAAAAAACAAATTTGATAAGGATAACATGTAAGCAGATAAAATAAATTATCAGACCAAAAAAAATAGCTGGAGATGACAACACCATATCAAATGCATATACGACTTAAAACAACTTTAGTCATTCAAAAGTATAAAAGACCTACCATTACATTCATCAGGGATATAATGCTGACAGAGAACATCCTCATCAAAGCCATGGGATAATTCTTTTATTATTTCTGGTACACTTTTCAAACACTGCAAATATCATTAAAAATCAAAAACGGTTAAATCATTCAAAAGATGTTTGCCTCAAAATAAATGTGAAAAGAGTACATTAAAGTGCAGTGTCCCCTGGTAATCCAATATAATCTGAATGGCTCTTTTTTATTGCTACTAAGTGAACTTGACCTAATAAATTAAAAAGGATTTAAGTTCAAAGCTAGTTTACCTTTCTGTTTGATGGCTTTTGAAAGCATATCACAATTTCAAAGTAATATGATATGAATGTAAACAGACAGCTTTGTACTAGATGAATATGCGGAGCTGGATTTTTAGCATACATACTGCTCTTACTCCTAATGATATATTCTTGGGGGAGAAGCAGCAAATACCAGTTTTAAAATTTTTACTTTAACCCAGCCAGGTCTTTAAACTCAAGTAATACACTTGATCCTTGACACAACCTTCAAATAATATAAGATTTCAGATTTTGTCGATTTCAGATTTTGTCATAGGCAAGCCTTTAATGGGATTTGACAAAGGTATAATGTAGGACTAGAGCTGTATTTATGATCTTTATAACCATAATCACTTAAAAGTACTGTAAAAACTGAATTTTTAGTGTGGTTTTACTTTTTCAATTTTTTTAACTATGTACAAAAATACTGAATTATTAAATATGATGTTAGGAAATCTGCATAAAAATAATACTACCAAAATGAAAATGTGAGTTTTTATTATTTGCCAAACTAAACCCCTTAAGCATGTTAAACAGATTTCAAATTCTATCTGTTTTTATCAAGTTGAATGGAAAATTGATAACCTGGATATCCATTTTCCTGCAAACTTTCAATCTCCATATTCTTACATGGACCTTGTCCTTTGACTTTTACCTTTAAATAGAGTCGGGCACTCAAAAGAAAAAGGGAAGTAAACACCATAGATATTTTGCAGCATTATCTTGAGCCTTCAAACATGCATTGTAAAGGATTAATCATTAAATAAAGCAGTAAAACAAACTAAAGATAGTTAAAGCAGATAAAAAAATATCATTGTTCATAATATCCAAGTGCATATTATGGCATACTGGATAAGAAAATTTATTAAGGTTACAAAAAAGTCAAAACTAATATGTTTTACATGCAAAAATTCAACTTCCACCTCACTCAAAGTAACTATTTAAATGCTACACACCTGAAGACTTAATACTACAATAGATAATCAAATTTAATAGTAGTGCCTCAAGTTTAACCTGACCACACTACTTTTAAAATCATCAACTCTGTAAATAGATGGCCAATATTGGAGCATAATATCAAAAGAAAAAAATATTACTTTCATATATATATTCCATATGTATATTTTAACAGTCAATTTCCTCGACCAAAACAATTGCAAAGACTAATGTATGGTACAAATCAACACAGAGGTTTAATGTATGCAAAATAATGTTCAACTTTTGCCACACATAAAATGAATATGTAACTGAAAATTTTACACCTTGGAACAAATAAAGCATTTAATGAACACAAAACATATATTTTTATTTTAGATACAACATACCTCATCCTTAAATGGCTCTGGCATAAAATGACAAATATCATTCATGTAGTCCTCTAGTGACTGGTCTGTTACGTTGGTCTGTACATAAACATTAATAGCTTCTATAATCCATTCACATAGATCACATCTCCAGGTTTTTGTCTAAATTAAGTAGAAAAAAATGCTGTTTATTTTTGATAACTTCTGTTGTTTGCCCGTATGAATTTTTATAGGGTTAAAAGATTCAAGCCTTTCCAAAAATGTAAACTCAGTGACAGAAGCTCTACAAAAACATCAGATTAATAGATGTGTTTAGTGTTTAATGTCCAGTGGCTACTTTACATGCATATCACAAGAACATATTGATGAGATATGAATATGAGATGGATTTTTAACTGCTAGTGAAGTGGTCAAAACAAATAGGATGTAAAGAAAAGAACAAAAGTTTAAAAACAGATAGAAAATTATGTCACAACTCAAAACCTCCTCCTCCTAACTTTAAAGGTACATAAATGGTATAATTGTGGCCATTTATTACAATTAATAGCAAATAAATGTTTGACTGGAAATCATTTATCAATCATTATGACATATGTTTCAATACTCATTACCATTTTTGCTGCTTTCATAAATTCCATAAAAATTTGTGGTGTGTCATCTACTGATCTCCGGCGTCTGGCAACTGGGCAAGCTGCTTTACATATCAAATTTCCAAACTGAAAAGATAACATACTTTCAAAAATATCAATATTATACAACAATTCAAAATATGTATAAATTAACAAACCTTTCTTAAATTCTTTGTTTATAATTTAGAAATTATTAAGAAACTAAGGTTTCAACTCCCTCAGGTAAAGTTGACCTTAGATGGATTTGGCTATTATTTCTCCGTCCGTTATTGTTATAAAGCTCCTCAACAGTTTCAGTTCTTAAGCTGTTTCAGTTTTTATACATTCTTGGCTTTCAAATATTTGGCTTTGAGTGTTACTGATAAAAGTAAATCTAAAAAGTGTTTCTGATGCATTAAATTATTAAGTGTTTTTATTTTTCATTTTTCAACTCTTACTAGTAAGAAAGAACTATATCTACCCTTAATTTGAACCTTTTGCAACAATATGTCAAAACATTGTTGAAAATTTTTTTTACAACAATTTTTCGACGTTGAAAAAAAAATCAATTAATAAATACATATAAAGATATTCATATGTGATTATCTGAATACTCCACTTGCATCTGTTTATCACTAAGTAGGAAAAAAGATAATGCAGTCAAAAGAAATATTTTGAAAGTCAAATGACCTGAAATTGTCTGAAAGAAGGTCAGTTGTTTGCCTCTGTACTGATAAATTCAATGATTTCTCTGAAATTCGATGTTATAGTAATATCTTACTTACGAAATGTACAGATTGAAAGGCAGAAGGGGAGGGTGTAATTTTTCAACCATGATCTGGATTAGAACATATCGATGTGATATGTTCAAATCTGACATGGTTAACCATGCAAGCAAACAGGGTGACATGGAATCAGTAGGACACATGTTACACTACATCTGTATGTTAAAAAGGGTTCTAGTCAACTTGTTGTCACACTTACATCGCATGTTTAAAGCACATGCTAAACCTTAAAGCTGACTTAGCATGGTACATGATGTACAACCTCAAACCCTAGATTTGTCTTACCTATAAGCTATAAGTAGTACTAATGAGAGAGTAACAAATTGAAAAAGGGAGTGATTTACATGCTATAAGATTTACCTCAGAATTGTATTTCTGTGGTAAGAGGAATTCCACAATACCATGACATTGACCACATGACAACGCTGTTAATTCTTTCTGGAAGAATTGTCCTAGAAAAAGCAAAATCTTTATTTTAAACAATTTTATTTCATTAAAAATTATGTGCCAAACACTTTTACATGCAAATTAAAGTAAGCCAACAACACACTACAGGATCTTTGCCATTATACTTAAGGTCAATAGAGAAACATAAAGCCTAATCAGGTATTTTTGTACTCACAAAGTCTATAATGTGCTAATCTAATTTTTTTGTATTCACAAAGTCTATAATGTGCTAATCTAATTTTTTTGTAATTCTATTTGTCTTTATTTGTTCACTGGAGATCTTTTTATAGTGTATTTGTTTAATACATTTTACTTAGAGCTTAACTTATGGTAGAGACATTTGTTTATAGTCAAAAACTGTATATTGACCACTGGTTGTTAGCTTATTAAGGAAAACTCCTCATCTCTTTTTATGAAGACTTTATTATTTGGAAAATTGTAGGGTCATGCTTTAGGACAAATCACTGATACCAGTAATATAGGGAAATGACACAAAAAATTTACACAACATGTATGAACAAAGGTATACAGAATGATATATTCACAGTAAGGAAATTTTAAATCAAAACAACAATGGAAATACTAATAATAGTATATTATTTGGTTAAACATAGGGAGAATCTTATTTTGTTTTTGGATAGATTTTTGGTGTTTAAATCAAATTAAAATAAATGTGGATCGTGTCCACATGTGGACACAGATGATGCCCCCGCTTGCATATCATATAGTTATAAAGGGACATAACTGAAGAACGGTAAAAGTGACGCTACCCAAATTTGAACTTGATCTGAGTTTTGTGGTAATAAGCATTGTGTGTAAGTCTCATAACATTTGGTTGAGGCAAACTTAAGTAAGAGAACGGAAACTAAAAATTTTGCAATTTTTCCATTTATAAAGGGGCATTACTCTAGAACAGTTTGAGTGACGGCACCAAAATTCAAACTTGATCTGTGTTTTGTGGTAATAAGCATGGTGTATAAGTTTCATAACATTTGGTTGAGGCAAACTTTAGAGAACGGAAACTAAAAGCTTTGCAATTTTTCCATTTATAAAGGGGCATTACTCTAGAACGGTTTAAGTGACGCCACCAAAATTCACCCTTGATCTGTATTTTGTGATAATAAGCATTGTGTATAAGTGTCATAACATTTGGTTGAGGCAAACTTAAGTTAGAGAATGGAAACTAAAAATTTAGCAATTTTTCCATTATGAAGGGACATAACTCTAGAATCATTTAAGTGACGCCACCAAAATTCAAACTTGATCTGTGTTTTGTGGTAATAAGCATTGTGTATAAGTTTCATAACATTTGGTTGAGGCAAACTTAAATTAGAGAACGGAAACTAAAAATTTTGCAATTTTTCAATTTATAAAGGGCATAACTCTAGAATGGTTAAAGTGACGCTACCCAAATTCAAACTTGATCTGTATTTTGTGGTAATAAGCATTGTGTGTAAGTTTCATAACATTTGGTTGAGGCAAACTTAAGTTAGAGAATGGAAACTAGAAATTTAGCAATTTTTCCATTTATAAAGGGGCATAACTCTAGAACGGTTAAAGTGAGACCACCAAAATTCATACTTGATCTGTGTTATGTGGTAATAAGCATTGTGTTTAAGTTTCATAAAATTTGGTTGAGGCAAACTCAAGTTAGAGAACGGAAACCAATTTTGGGACGGACGTACGTACAGACATACGTAAGTACGTGCGTACGTACAGACGGACAAGGGTAAAACTTAATGCCCCCTCCACTACGACGGGGGCATAAAAAAATATTTAGTGTATAATAGGGAACCAGGGGCTAGGGTAAATGTTATATTCATCTTCAGAGAGGTTTATAAGTGAAATGTATTTTTTAAGTACAAGTTTTCCTTGAAATATTTTTGAAAGCATTTAAATTTGGCAATACTTCTGTAATTTTGTTCAGTAAATATAATATTTTGTAAGCAAAATAATCTTATTATAAACAAAATTCAATTTAATATTTTCAAAGTTACCAAATAAAATAATTTTGAAATTTAAAGGAAGTTCAATATTTGTCATTTCAAAAATTCAATTATTAAGTGCATGCAAGAGACTGGAGACCATAAGACAACTCCAAAATAAATGTTCTAAGGTCTCTGGTCCCTTTGCAGATTTACATATATTACTATTGTTTATTTTTATCTAATGAGTTCCCAAAGTTCTTTGGATAAATCTATATTGGAACCAGCAAAGGTTTGAGTTTCTAGTGTATTTTGTGCCTGAAGTGTGTATTTTCTTCCAATTACTGCCAGTCATATAAAGATCAGGTTTTCCCATTTTTCCTTTACAACAAAAGTAACATTTTTCTCATTCAATATCTTGTACATGTCCTTTGAACCCTTCTTTGATTCAAAGAAAATACTTATATTGAAAGGTAGCATTGCCTGAGATCTTTTCTCAGTTACATCAATATTGATAGCTTTTAACCACCCTTTAAGCAAGTGTGCCATTCCATAATAATGTAGAAAAAAAAATCTAAATTGATATAATTGTTGAAAATTTCGAAATGACATAATATTTCCTTGGTTATCTTACAAGTCATGCACTGTCCAAATTCCATTGTTAGCCCAGTTTTTATACAGTAATAAACACTTGAACCACCAATTTTAATGTTATCTCCTTCCCAAAAAAGCAGAAGATAAAACTTCATCAATACATCTTGATTTTCAAATTTGATGAAGAGGTTTCTAAGCATCAAAAACCTCCTGCCAAATTTATTTGTTGACCTTTTCATGGGCCCAATGTAGCTTAGTTCAGACAATAGAGACTTTTCTCACCCACTTTAAATTTGAGTTATACAACCTTCCTATTCATGTAAGAACATACATAATTCAGAAATTGACACAATTTATATAAATATTCTCTTTTTCTTGATTCATGTAATCATATCTAGTAAATTTCTTCGATACACTATCTGTTGCCCATAAATGAACTCTTTATAGTGGATACTGTGTGCCTACCGTTAACTGCTGGACAGAATTTAGCTTGTTTACATGCATTCTCTGGTGCCACTCCACTGGTTACCATGGTTACAATTTGTGGTGCAAATAAAATACACTGAAACAAACAATTATCCAATGTATTTTTAAAATAGATTTTCAAAATTGATTTAATTCTGAAAAACAGGCACAGAATACTGCCTGTTTAAGTATTCATAACTTATTGAGTGGTATGCAAATATAATTTTAAATTTTTACTATTTTCCAAGAGTCTTGTTAATTATACATTTTATCAAAATCTCGAGTAAAAGGAGATGTAGAATATATGTCAATAAGATATCAACCAAATAACCAAAAAA